CGCAATTTCCCACACACACACACACACACACACACACACACACACACACACACACACACACACACACACACACACACACACACTATTTTCACCCAATGATTAGCTGTGCATGCACATATTATTATTATGTACATATTTTTGGAAATTGGCTACGAGCGTGGGAGGTGGGTAGGGTAAAATAAGTATTTTAATAAAGCAATTCCAGCCCCATCCCCAGAGCTCCCAAACTTTAAAAAATACCCCCCCTTTCCCCCTCTCATAAAAAACAACAAAAATCCTGGAACCCTCCCCCCTTCCCCCCAAATCCTTGTTTTATTTCCTGCGTACAAGGTCTGAACTTCTGCATTTGTTGGAAACCTGGTTGCTTTATTCTACATGAAGTAGTGGGTGTCTTTGAGCTGCAGTGTACTTTAAGAATTTTCTGAAACGCTTTCTGATTATAATATATTAAAATCGACACGCTTTTCAAGTGCTCTAAGACCACAAAATCAACATTTTTCTGAATAGAGAAAAACAACTGTTTCATTCTTTTAACGTTTATGCTTCCATCATGTATATTTTCTAGCTTTATTTCAACGTTTAGAATCTAAATTTGGAAGAGAAAAAAATTCTGAGGCATATGCAACTGAAACTGCAGACAAAGAAACTGCACTTTTTAAAAATTGTTTGTGTTTTGGGTTTAGTATATCTGAACATCTTGTTTGATGATCATCATCATCATCCAGTGCCAGATCTTCGACAGACATCGGCGATCATGGTTCTCCATTCATTTTTTTGTTCGGATGCTCTTAAAAAAGCAACCTTTCCCTGATATTTCCCTGTTGCCCATATGTTTATGTTCTCTAAGTAAGTTGCTCTTAGCCTACCCCTGCCTCGTTTGCCTTCAATTTTGCCAATGAGAGCTAGATGTTCAAGGCCTTTCTATCCAGGTGTCCTAAAACTGCATTTGTCGTTTGTTTGATGATATCATATTCTAAAAAAGAAATCTAAATTTTAACAAATAGGGAAACAATTATTTGATGTAGCCCCGACAAAGTGACACTCGCTGTAACATTTGTGACGTCACTCTGCCCCCAGGCCAAATAAAAGTGCCCACCAAAAGAGGTGGAGCGAGATCTCGAGCGCTATTGAGGCCAAGGGAACTTATGACCTGACCACTGAAGAACTGACATTTGGCGCCAAACTTGCCTGGAGGAACGCGTCAAGGTGTATAGGGCGTATACAGTGGTCAAAGCTACAGGTTAGTCGATTTTTCTGTCACTGTCAAAGAGGTTATATAATACTAATAATAATAAAGATAATGATGATAACAATAACAATGATAAGTTATAATAATAATAATAATAATAATAATAATA